GAAAATCTTTAATGGGCTAAGTGTAGCCTTTCCGGCCCCAACTTGTCAGGTAATCAGAAATCTCTGTGACTCTTCTCCCTCCTCTCTCTCCTCTTCCCACATTTCCAAGCTCCCCAGGGCCACATCCCAACATTAATTACACGTTATTTTGTTCGGAACTCCACCGCCGTGAAACAGATAGACTGCTTTTAAAAGTCAAGACACTGGTGGAAAAATCTTCTCTGCTTGGTTATATATTTATTATCTACAGGGAAGCTAATCGTATTCGTCACTTGTTACAAAGACTCATGCCATAACTTTTAAGGGACTCTACATAATGGTCGCAAAGAAAGTACAAGAGGCCAGTGTTTCTTAAACTCGCTGACATGTGACTCGTACGTGTTTACTGCCAACACTGTGCACACTGTAAAAAATGATATGAGTTACATATATTTTTACGTTGCTTTAACTCATCAAAATAAGTTTTTTTGTTACACAATAGTCAACTATTTTGTTTTATATCAGTTTAATATAATTTAAGTTGAAATGACATAAACATCCAAGTTGATTGTACTTAAAAAAATAAGGCAGCAATTGTTTTTTACAGTGATGTATCTAGTAGAAATTTGAGTGTCTGATTGAATGACAAATTGTATTTTTAATTGCAGCTTCTCTGTACTACCTTGTCAAATTTGATCTGTTGTTTGATTCATGTAAACACTGTATACAAGCAATAAACAAATGTATTTTCTGCATTATTATTGGTGATGGGATCTATATGAGAATATTTATCACCAAATCAACCAAAAAAAAAGAAAAAAAGAGAGACGTTGTCACAATGAAGTAAGAGTCGCCATTTTGTATTTTTTGCATATTTACAATCAAAATTATTTGCCTTATCACATTTTGAGTATGATTGTGTTCCGTTTCATGTGAAATTCAACAAGTAGTATACAATCTAATATATGCCATTTTATGAAGACATTTCAGTATGTTAGCTTACAAATAATTAAAAGATGTTTTTCCCATGTGTCCAATAAAATTCCTCTACTTCAAATCATGGAGCTAGTCATTGTGTAAATAAAGTGAGCCAAGCAAGATATTAGCATATGCTACTGTTGTATGAAGGTGATTAGCATTCTACCGCAGGAGAAGCCACCACTCTTTAGAGTGCTTTGTCCTGAACAATAGCCAGGTCAGGCCAGGCGCTGTACAGACACGCAAAGTCATTGTTGAAAGAGCTAAAGCGAAGAGACGTGCCATTGCTTAGCCACCAGAACACCAGCTCCATTTAGCATGGGTTAATAACGTGTTGCGTTGATTTATGATAACATTTATTCACAATATATAGGTGAGATTTAGATTACAATTTAAAATAATGTATTCATTTTCACATGATCCTACCAATTGTGAATTCCATTTAACTTTTTAGCTTGTCAAGTCATACCTTAAGTATGCAAACTGTGCTGAGTATTTTCTTTTGATAGTCTCCCCATTGAAGATCAGAACATGTATTTGTGAGGACATAGCTTGGACACAGAGGCTTCTGAATGGAGATGACCTTTAGTCTCAGAAAACTTTCCACAGTAATAACTTTTTTCTCCACATTCAGGTACAAGATTGCTGATTAAATTTCTCCTAAAGGCCGTCTGGGTCTAGTTCCTGGAGTTGTGACTCTTATTCTCAACCTCAAGGTGGTGCTGATGGGGAGAGTGGTGGTACTGTAGTGCGAGTACTGTAAATATGCCCATTAGTAGGGTGAGTGTAGTATCTGACTGACAGCGCAGATGTTTTATAGAGAAAATAAGAGAATTTTATTGTGATTGGATGTAGAAGATGCACAGCAAAACATAGATGCACTTACGTTGAGGAATCAAAGTCGTGAAGAGGTTGTTGTCGGTGTCACAAGGGCTGTGTAACACACACACACACGATACTGTCACAGAGAGAGTGGACAGGCTATTTGGATATGTGCAAGCTACTCTCAGCAGTGCTTGTCCACTGGCAGCCTGACTGAAAAGTGCTTTTCCGTGTTAGAAAAAAAGTTTTTTTTTTCTTTCAGTAAATTCCCTTGACACTGAGTTACTGCTGACAGAGCACTGTGTCTAAAAATCTCTCACCGTTATGATATCATGCCATGAAAATAAACTGCCATGGAGTCACTGCCTTATCAGTGCACACCTCTGAATAAACCATGTGCCTGGGACAAAGCACCATTACATTAAAGAACAGTGTAGCCTAATCATTGTGCATTATCATTGCAGCTAACTATGCTCCTTTTAAATGTTTTTTTTTTTTTTTTATCATACCTAATTAATTTAATACCACACAAAAGCACCAGGTCTGCAGAGAGGGTGGAGAACAGCAGTGAGATAAGATTTCTATGAAATAATTTGTGCTAATAGTGTCAGTGACTGTAGCACTTCACCGCCATCAAGGATGCCTTGCTTTAAACAAGAGGACATGCAGTAATCATTATTCTTTAATTTTACTTCAAGGAGCACATAATTAATTTTTCATCTTGAACTTGGAGGGAAAAGCAGAATTCATTTAGAGCCATGCAAGATAATATGAAATCTCCTATGGTCTGACGATGAGGTAGGGCAGGGCTGTGCTATTGGCGTCCTGCTGTTCTAAAGCAGATGCTGCAATAGCAACATTATGGAATTATCATTTCTATTTAACTTCAGGAGTACTTCATTACAACAAGGTCAAACAAATGAGCTGTTAATGCATTGGCTGGGGCACAAAAAATGTGGAAATTGGATGGCAGAGAAGATAATATGAAATAGAAGACATTTCATGTCTTGATAGAATAGAATTTTACAGTATGTTTGTGAAAGAAATCTCTTATGCTCACCACGGCTGCATTTATTGGAAAAAAATAGAGTAAAACAGTAATTTTGTGAAATGTTATTACAATTTAAAATGACAATTTTCTATTTTAATATATTTTAAAATGTAATTTATTCCTGTGATGACAAAGCTATATTTTTACTCCAGTCTTCAGTGTCACATGATCCTTCAGAAATCATTGCTGCTTTTGGAAAAAAAAGAGAATGCAAGTCAGTGTCAGAAACTACAAGATTAGAAAGTCCCGAACTGGGATATCCTGTCTTTCTCACGCACAACTGATGAGCTGCAGATAAATTATAGTGTAGAGATGGTGACACAAGAATGAATGCTGTCAGTTGTAATACAACACCAAGATCAAAGGATTATCAGTCAGTACAAATCTTCATTAATGCCTTTAAAGATAACAATGATGAGATGTTTAAAAAAACTTTGTCTCAACCTTATTATTTTGGAGATTTTGTTATACGGGCAGATAACTTGAGAATCTTTCCCGACTACAGCTTATCGACCCAGACAATTTTTAGTGTGTAAAAATACATTTTAATTATGAGCATAAATAGCATTTAAAAATCTTATTTATGACACAGAAGAATGCTTTGTGCTTAATCCGACTTGGAATTTGAGGTGTTAAAAATGACAACACACACACACACAGACACACACACAATCACACATAGGTTCCCAGGGCATATTAACTGCATGTTTCCTGCAAGAGCTGTCAATCTGAATCAAAAACCAAGTCCGGACAGGGTCGTGTGCATGTGTGTGTTTACAAAAGTTGATCTGAGCCTGTGCACTGTGCACAAATTCGAGTGCCAAGTTTCACTGATATTTTGACATTCATAGGTGCCCTGAATTGAGAAAATTAAAGAAGTCTTGTGTTTGTGTGTGCATCCTGAATAAGAAGCAGACATGCCTGGGCAAAGAAAGGTGTTCTGCTTTTAGCACAAAGGCCAAGGATTTAGTTTCATCTGTCTCCAGTTTACACAGACACTAATGAGAAGGCATGAAATTGGCCTTCTAAACCCAGCCTGTTGGAGAAAGGCCTTAGGGCCTGCCTGGAGCCTGACTGACATCATACTTCATCACAGGGAGACATTAGCCATATGAATGATAATCTGACAACTTGACACTTTAGCTAAGATCAACAACAAGAGTAAATAATCAGCTTTAAAGCCCTCTGTAACATGATCAGGTTTTTTATCAGCATGTAACCAGCACATAACATCATTGCTATCATTTTCTCCACTAATGACGGTAATGTCGGTCGAGTTCGCATTGATGTCCGCGGGCCGACTGTGTAAATGAAACAGAAAACGTACAAATTACATTGTCAATTCAAATTTAAGCAGGTAATGCCGCCCATTCATTTCACCAGCCAGCGGTGTTTTCCCTCTAGTTATCTGTGACAGAACGACACGTCGACGGCATTCTGGAGGAAAAGAGCGACAGGCAACAGCAGTGCCTCGAGTAACACCAGAGAAGAGACATGAAAAATTCATCGTCCCTGGTAAATTCACTGGGCTGTTTTAATTTACGTGGGGAAGAGGCCGTGTCGAAGGCCAGTTGCTGTTCTAATTAAACCGATACAACTCACAGAATTGGCGCGCTCGTCACCGGCGGCCTCCGTAGCGTCTGTCATCGCCCGCCTCGCGCATCTTCAGACTATTTGAAAATCAATTATCTCAACAAACCAGCTGTAAGGACTGCGTGCCAGCCACTTATTCCTGAAGTGAATAACGTATTTGAAATTCATTACGGCACGGAGGGACGGAAATCTGGGGTGTTTTTTATTTGATTTATTTCCATTATTTATTGCAAGCCTTAAACAATACACAATCTCATTTTCATGTTCTATTTACCTCCATGACTATTACATGATTTCACCCATCTCACCTCCGTCATCGCCTCTCTCTGCAGATTGTGGTGGAGTAAAACTCGTCGGTTCGTTTCATTTATTTATTACATGCAAATCAAAGCACTCCTGGAGGTGCTCTCCCGTTTTGCATAAATATTGCAGGCTGTGTGTTTGTTTGTGCCGGGGGGGAGGAGGGCGCGAAGGGGGGCGGGCTGCTCAAAACATTATCTTTGGACCGTCAGATTGACCTAGCGTAAGAACCCGCTGCACATTTTGATGACATTCTTTTTTGTCACCTCTTTTGCAGGGTAGATGACAGGCCAGGGATGAGCTTCAAACAGCGGCGTGTATATGTGTATACGTAACAGGCCTGTGGAGTGTTTGTGTGTCAAGGACGTTAGCGGGGTGGACAGCTGATGGACACCAGCGTGGAGGAGATGTGATAGTGAGTTGATGCAATGTCACTCGCACTCAGATCTAACCGGAGCGCTCCCTCCCTCTCTTTCCCGGTCCGTCCCGTGCCTCGGTTCCTCCCTCTACAACTGCTTTCTCCCTATCACACTCCATTCAGCACACACCCCTTGCTATATCTCTGTCTCTCACGATGTTCGTTCCTAGCCTTGCTTTTCTTAAGCCCTTCGCGCAGGATCAGGTCGCAGGCGTGAAAGGGGGGCTGAGAGAGAGAAAGAGAGAGAGAGAGTCAGAGAGTGCTTTATCAGCAGGTCTGCTGGATGGGGTTGTCAGGCGTGAGTCAAGCAGGGTCACCGTGGTGACAGGAGGTGTCACTTCCCTGCATCGCCGCCTTTTGTGCCACCAGCTGCAGTCTTGAGCACGCTTTTCACAGACCTGACTGGAGCTGTGCGCACAACATGTGTGTATGTGTGTGTGTGTGTGTGTGTGTGTGTGTGTCTGTGCAGCGTGTGATCAAGATACTACTGCTTTTTCCATTTATTCCTCTGCCAGTGAAGTCTGCTGTAAAGGTGGAGTGGATAGAAATGGTGTCCTGTGTTTTGAGATTGATGAAGGTTGCAGAACGACATGACCTAAGACCAAGCATACACACTCATTTGTAGAAAGCATTTGTTGTGTTTATTTATCTTCAACACTAGATCCTATGCACTTCTTCAGGCAAAATGACAGATATATTGCAGAATGAAGCACAAGGCAGATCTAGTTTTGAGTTTATAGTTTTATTCTCAAATTGTCAGTTTAATTTTCTTTAGTTTCTATTTCCTGGTTACACTTTATTTTGGTGTCCTCCTTACATATGTTACATGTACTTACCATAGTAATGACAGTAAATTATGCATAATTACACGCATTAGCAAGTGCAGTTGCTAGTATTACTCAGTACTTCAATACATAATTACACTGTAACAATGACACCTTACAAATAAAGTGTAACCCTTTATTTTAATGTGTCACTGTAATAGTACAATTAAACATTTAAGTAATGAATAATACTAATTTACTTACATGTAGGGTCAGGGTAGGATTAGTTGCTTGTAATTATTATTATTTACTATAGTAAATACATGTTACATGTGGACACATTAAAATAAAGTGTTACCATTTTTCCCTGTACTATTTTAGGGCTGCCAAATTTGATATACTTTGAAAAATATTATATATTGAAAATATATTTGTATCAAAAAAAAAAAAAAAAAAAAAAAAAAAAAACGAGTGTATGTCACTGCGGTGTCCATAGCGCATATGCAGTACAGTAATGTAAGATTAAGTAAAGGTGTTTCTTTGCTCTCATTCTGCCTCTGGCTAGGGGCTTACAGCAAATCAAAAAGCAGAGCAGAAGGAAAATGGGGTCAAATTTTCTTTCAGCCACCGTAATCTTAAAATCGTTGAGAAATTACCTCAGGAGTGAGCGCCAGCAATTTGTTTCTATTCTGAGTAGTGGGATGAGAAGGCCACTTGAATTACTTAATTTCAGAATTTGAGGACCACACAGACATGCTATGCACCATGTGTGCTCAGCACCACTGAAAGGGAGTTGTTTACATGCAAAAGGAGAATGGGAGCTGCAATCGATGGCCAGGCCATTACAGGATATGCTTAAATGTGGCAGAAACGTTTTAGCAATTTGGCAGTGTCCAGATTCTGCAGAAGGAATTATTTGATCAATATCATTGCTGCCTAATAGACAAGAGTAAATTATATGATCAATGCCGCTGCCCTGTGTATGCAGGACAGTGATATATACACACTTTGTCCTTGTGCATGCTTCTGCATGTACTGTATGTGGCCAGTGCTTGTATTTAGTATACACTCAATACAAGATCTACTCGCTGTGAAGATCTAAACATATTTAGATGTACAGGAAATTGCAATGGAGGACGATTTCGGTATATCAACAGACAGCGTTGATTTTTTTTTTTTTCACAACCGCACAAGTGATCACTTCCTGCGCTTTCTGGCGCTTGCGCAGACCGAACCGCCTGTGCCTTCAGATCACTTGGACGTGGCTGTGGTTACAAGAGGTAAAATGATATAAATACTGTTCGTTTTCTCACAAAAAATGCTCGTTTCGTGTCTAAGGCCATCAATGTGTACTTACATTTACGAGTCATTAAATCATGTTTAATTTGGACTTCTCTGTGCATGCTCTTTGAGGTGGACCCTATAAACCTCCATTATATGACTGACAGACAACAACGGTTTGACCTAAAAATATCAAAATTGAAAATACCGTGGAAACAAAGACACCTACTACATCTTGGATGCCCTTGAGGTAAACTAAAACATATCAAAAATTAATTTCAAAGTGAACTATCCCTTTAACTCTGAATATTACACTCTATACAAACTTTAGAAATGTTATGATGGAGTGGTGACTTTCCTCTGATCTAAAATGATATGTTGTGAGGGTCTATCTCCACGTTTGGTCGAAATTGAGTTTTTGACATAATCTGATCCATTAGGTGTTTATTAATGCCTGTGTGGTGTTATTAAAAAAATATATTATTAGATTATACTACATAACAGTTTTGCCAGCTGGGATGTAAAAACTTTGATGCTCAATATCTCAGAACTACCCTAAACGGAGATAGAACCTTATAATTCTAAGCTCACGATGTGTTTACGTGTCTCGCCCGTGGTTAGAAACACAGGAGTATGTTTAATGATCTGAGATGACATGTTATGGACCCAGAATTTGCCAAAACAAACGTGGTGATGCAACTCTGTCTGAAGTGTGCGCGGCGCTTCGAGACATCGCTCTCCGGCAATGAGTGATCCTGTTTTGCTCTGTCTTCAGGACAGAGGGAAGGCTGAAGTCACTTCATTAGACGGTGTCATTTCTTTCTTTCTTTTGTTTTGAGTTGCATTTATTTTTCTGATTCTTCACTCCTCGTATTCATCACATGACAAATCATGGTGTGCTTGCTAATGCTAAGCAAGTGAGACGAGAGAGAGGAGGGAGAGAGGTTGCAGGAGGGAGAGTGACACAAAGAGAGCTTGTCATACTTGCTTAAGGATGAAATAGTAAGTGTGCAGTCAGGTTGTAATTTTCTCTAGCAAGTGCAGAAAGGGTATGGGGGAGGAATCACACCATGACTTTCCCTTTCATTCTCCAACATTATTTTAAACAGCATTATTTTAATTTTAATTACAGGTGCAATAAAAAGCACAGCTGTTTAATATCCAGTCCTCTACTTCTAATACACAGAATTAATAATCAGTAAACACTGTGCCACTCTGTCTAAACAAAGGATGTTTCCCAATAAAATGTTTGATTTAACTGCAAATGCATTGCACAGAAATCTTTGTCATAATGCACATTGTATTTGTGATCAACTTGCATTCATGTTTTGTGGAATGTGCTTTATTGCTTACTAGAGTGGACTCTGTATTTGTGTGTGCTTGCAAGTGTGTGTGTGTGTGTGTGTGTGCATGATATTCTACCTTTCCTGGCAGGAGTGTGTGTGAAACTCTTTCCTGATGTGATACAGACGGACAGGTGAGGGTTTCATCTCGCTTTCACTTTAAGTCAGGTCGCTGGCTCATCTCACTGTCTGTCTCTCACTGTCCTGAGAATATACACTTTCGTCACCTTCAAAACACAAATGCGCAGACGCATACATTTGTTTTTTCTATCATATTATGGACTTTTATTGTTTTATAGTAAGACAATAATATTATATGTCCTCTATTTGCATGCCTGTTTTCATCAGAACATGAACACACACACACACACAAAAAAAAACCAGCCTTCCAGAGGAAATCATTTCAAGGAATAAAACAGGAAGTATTAAATATTTTTTTTAATCTAAATATTGAAATGCTTTTGTCTTTGTGTAAAATTATTTATATATTTCATAAAAAAAATATGATAAAAATTATAACTTTTTATGATTAAAATATATAATAAAAGACAAAAATAAATGATAAAAGCATGATAAAAGTTTCCAAGACCGTTTTAATATGCCCTTCATATAACAAAAAAGAAAAAATCTATAATTTAAAAAGATCATATATTTTTTTTAGTTTTATAGTTTCAGTAATACTTATTGTGCTGCTTAGTTACAATTCATATAAAACAATTAAAACAACCCCTTCACACTTGATTTTTTTTCCAATTAGCATTTTTTGACCAACTAGATAAATACTCTTCTTTAAAAACATTTTTGCCAGCTCATTTTTGTTTTTTTTGTGAGCAACTTGTCCTCAACACAATGACACAACATAAAGCAACATAAAAACCCTCATGTTTTAACCATACTTGTATAAACTGGAGTTTGTGATCTAGTGTTGACGGTTTTGAAAAGAACAATTTTGAAAATAGTCAAATCATATTAATAATATATAATTAATTAACATGTTAACTCTTTATTTTGAGGGTCCCTTTTGAAAATTCTGTTGACTATAACTTTTCAATTACATGTCAACTAACCAATATTAGTAGACTGTCTGCTTAATATCTGCAAACTCTTTATTGTAATGCTCCTCCAACAGACAGGGACGGGGTAAAAAAGGGTCATAATTACCTCTCTCTCTCTCAGTATATCAGTATCAGTATACCGGCCAAAAGTTTGGACACTAAACGTTTAAGGATTTATTTGATCTAAAATACAGAAGAAGAATTATTATTGTTTTCTATTATTATATTATTTTCAGGATTCTTTGTTAAAAAAAGAACAGCATCTATTTAAAATATAAATATTTTGTACCTATATACTACCGTTAAAAAGTTTGGGGTCAGTAATTTTTTTTCTTTTTTTTTTAAATAAATGAATACTTTTATTTAGCAAGGATGTGCTAAATTGATTATATATATATATATATATATATATATATATATATATATATATATATATATATATATATATATATATATATATATATATATCATGTAATTCTATTTAACTTTTTAATCATCAATGAATCCTGAGAAAAGTATTTTTAAAAAAACCCATTAAAATAGAAGTGTCCAAA